GCCTTTAATTCACAGAGATCCACTGCTTCTGTTTCCTAAGTGCTGGGATTAAAGACATGTGTCACTACTGCCTGACTGCTTCTAGAAATCTATGAGTTAAGTCAAACTTTTCTATAAACACAGGATACTTATATGCTTGATTTCTTTAAAGTTATATACATGAGTGGTGTGTCTGGATGTATATTTGTGCACCATGTATGTGTCTGAGGCCTGCAAAAGCCAAAGACAAGAATGAATTCTCTGCAACTGGAGTTGTTACCAACAACTGTGAGCCACTATTTGGGTTATGGTACTAGAACCTGGGTCTTTTGGTAGAGCAACCAGTATTTTTAACTGCTGAGCCACCTTGATGGCCTCAGTGCTTGGTATTTTTCAATTATTTATATTGATTGAAGGTTAAAAAAAGAGAAAACAATATCAGAGAGCAAATGCAACCTAATCATCAAGCCTTGGCTACCCCTTTAACTTTTAGTGCCCCATGCTTTAGTTAAAGTTGTAATGACAGAATGTATCTTGGAGTCTTACTACACATCTTAGTCTATACCCAGTTTTATTCTCTAGTTTTACCACCCCTGTACCTCTTAGATTCTATTTCATGCTTCTCTCACTTCCTCTCCTTATGAAAATAATATTAATATCAGCCCATGAGATTTAATACTTGTGTGAAATGTACCATCGCAGCCGACATGCACAAAACAGGCCAATGCTTCTCTGGATGGATCATGCAGTGTAGTTGCCGCTGCATATGTAGACTTAAGCACCGTGATCAATAACGGAACATTTGAAGCTTTGGAAGTACACAGAACAGCAGGTATGGTTATCTTAATACTTAGATGGACTCAGTTACATAAGAAATAGAAGGGCAAGTATGAAAGAAAGAGCAGCAACAAATGAACTTTTAAAAACAATGACGGAATTCCAAACAGGCTGAGTGGCTCTTCCAAGAAACTACTTATAAAATATTGGCTATAATTTTCAGATACTTCTGTCACAGTGACCGTGCTACAAGATCTGTTTTGAGGAACTTATGGAAATCAATAATAGAAAGGCCAGTCTTACAGAAAGCAGAAGAAAATGTAATGGCAGGAACTAGCATACTGTAAGCAATCTGGGAAGGAACCCACACAAGCTGGCTTTAAATTCATTAACTAAGGAAAGTTGTCAGGTACATGGGACAGATGGGCTAAAGACTAATTTACCAAGCTGTCTATGTAATTGACACTTGAATGCACTGAAACCGCATACATTTGAAAAAGTTTAGAAAATGTGCACTGTTGTCAATTTTTTATCAAAACAAACAAATAATCTGCCTCCGTTGACTCCAATCAAAATGGTACAATTCAAGTCAATTTAAGAATTCTTGGTTACACACTTTTACACATCTTAAAAGAGCACATGGCTCAAATTTCCTAATTACAAGACAAGACAGAAAAATGGCCAAAGTATAGGCGCGTTGGGACAGGGAAGGAGTTTTTCATGTTGGAGTCTGGCCGAAGCCTCTGGGCCCCTGAGAGTGGAGAACTCCAGAACAATTAACACTTGCTTAAGGCCTTTCCCCCTTTCCCAGCTGTAAAACTGAGATATACTAAAAACCTCACCAGAAGCCTCTTTTACAAAAAGACAGATTCTAAAATCCTTCTGTAACCCCTGTGACTCAGGGTGTAAAAATGGAGGGTCGTTTAGGTAACCATTACAAAGTGAAATCCAACAGTTTCCCAAAATTTTATATAGGCTCAACACGAGGACATTTGGATCGCTATTCTCCCCTAAGAAGTCCATACTCACACAAGGGTCTTGTTCTTCCCCCAAGAGCCTGTCTCCTAACCTCCACGACTACAATCTATGTCAAGAATGTCTTTAGAGTGCTGAAGAGATGGTACAGCTTTTAGAGAATTTAATGCTCTCCTAGGACAGGAGTTTGGCTCCCAGCACCCACATCAGGAAGCTCAAAACTATGTTACAGGACACCCAAGGCTTGCCTCCGGCTGCTGTGAGCACTTGTGCACATTACAGACACACAGACATACACACACTAAACACACACTCACACATTACACACACACATTATACACATACACACCACACAGACATACACACACACTATGCACACATTACACACATACACACCACACACACATTACACACACACACACACACACACACACACACACACACACCAGAAAAATAAGTCTTTAAAATGTTTTTAATATACTGCAACTCTTTTGAGTGCCCACACCTGTGCTGTCGGGTGTGCTTTATTCCTTCCCTAAACACCTTTCTATTTGTATTGAGCCTCAGCTCTCCCTTACACTGGAAGAGAAAATCTTTTCTGTCTGTTACACTGATTCTAATTTACCCATAGGAAAGTCCCCAGAGATATAGGTGACACTTCAACCTGTAGAGGTAACAGGGCAGAGCTGTGTCTCAACCCCAGCTACCCTCGCAACTACTACAGATACTCCTCTCCCTACCTTAAAGAGGCTTCCCTGTTTTCTTTTAGCTTTCTCTTCTGTCTCAACACCAACCAAAGCATGTATTTATTTAACAGCGGGACATATGGCCAGCATGGTCAATGTGTTCCATGTGGGCGATTCTCTCTTTCCCTTTTCTGTGTACAGAGGACTTGACATCCTCTTATATGTGAAGTGGTTCTACCGTGGTATTCATAATTGGATTCTTTCCCCCCTAATGGAATATTTTAA